CATGTTATCACAGTTACTAACATTTTTTAATTTATTAAAAAGCAAAATCCTTAAATATCTAGATTTTAATATAAACGGACTTAGGCCACTTTCAAAATAAACGGTTCATTTATTTATTAAATTATATACATATTATTATATTTATATATTATAATATATTTAAAAATATTTCTATTTTGAGTCAAAGATTTAATCCTTACAGGACCATAAGGTTGCTAAGAGTAAATATTAGTACGTAACTGTTTATTTTAGTTTCTTTAGACGGAAAATAAATAAAAATCACACGAAAAATACATAATAATGTATGGTGTTTTTGGAATTTTACGGAAAATATTTTTCCCACAATGGACTACGAAGGTAACATTAATTATGGTCAGGCTTAATATGCAATGTCTTTTATGTATTGGTTTATTATAACAAAATGTTAACTAAAATAACATAAAATCATGAAATAAAATTACTACACAAAATGATGTGCTAATTATGATATTTTGCGAAGCAATTTCTTTTGATTGTGAAGCAAAGATGAATATTGCACATAGCACATATATTATGCGTTCTATTTTCTATGTATGCGACGTTTAACACAATTTGCATATCTTTTCATTTATTTCGTTTTTTGCATGTGTTGCGTGCTGGCAAATTGCGTTTTGTACCAAAAATAACCGATAATTAAATACGACAATCGCCGATTTTAAAATTGGAAAAAATGTTTCTCTTAGTCGTGAAGGGGTTAAAAGAGGCAGAGAAATATTATATTTATTTGCGATGTTGTACGATTCTGTCTGAGATAGTGCCGTTGCAAGTTTGCATTACGGTATTCTTTCATAGAGAATGATTTGAAAGCAATATACACTGAAGATTTTTGTTTATAGAATAAGGGCGACATTTTATAAAATATAAACATTTCCTAATACGAACAATTTTACTGGAATCATAGAGTCTCTCGGTGTGCTGTACTGCAGCTTTCATTCGCACAGAAATATGCGTAAGCAAAATTTCGTTCGACATACAGTCGAAGTACAGAGCAGGAGAGATAATAGCCACGAAGTCGGGGTTGCTTCGCAGCTAATTGAAAATTTGAACGGTTCCATTGAAGCGGTAGATTCAACGGAGAATAAATTGGACGCGATGTAAATCGCGAAGCTGTAAGATGCACGCGCGACGTTGCGCGATGTTGTACGACGTACAGCGACCGGCTGGCTACACCTCAGCTTCTCTCTTTACCTGTTGCAGACTTCCCTAAAGCGGTGAAGAGGCTGTTGAAGAACGACATTCTTATGTTCCGAACGGCCAGCAGCGTGCTGCACATCCTACCGATCGCCGGCCTCTACACCTTCCTGCCAAAGTACCTCGAGAGCCAATTTCGCTTGCCGGCTCATCATGCGAACATGATCTCAGGTAATTTTCGCGAATAGACACGCGAGAGAGCGTCGTTGTCGTGCTCGGGGCCTCTGTTCTTCCGTTTCCCCATTGTTAACGTGGTTCGACGGGCCAGTGTTTATGTTCGCGGCGCTCTCGTTGTCCGGGGACCAAAGGTTCCGCCGAAATTGTAAATTAGCTACGAGAAAACCGGAAACCAAAAGGTAACTTAAGGCTTCGTTTCCTGCTGAACCGTTCTCAAAAACAGCTCTGGCGTAAAGCATTTAGGCTGGCGCGTATCTTTCTTTTTTTGAAACACGTTCGTTTCGTCAGAATACGATCGATTTGCTGCGCTGCACTTTTCCCAACGAGTTTTCAATGGACAGTAATTTCTTCCAATACGATTATTCGAGCCTTGCGGCTCGTTTTTATAGTTGACGATTGTCAATAACTATAAAAACGAGCCGCAAGGCTCGAATAATTGTATCTCTCAGCGCCAATTAGGGAGAAATTACTGCACAACTGCCATTTTTATTTCGTAAAAAAGTTCTATGTGCTTGGAAAAAATGAAAATCTGTTGGCGATAGATCGAGCGAATAAGTCGGACGTTACAAAATGTCACACTTCGATTCATTTAATTTTGCAACGGCTGTTGTTTTCTGCGGCAATTCGTACCCGTACGAAACTCAAAATAAATGCGAGATACAAAAATGCAAGATAAATGCAATCCTGCGAGATAAAAGGATCGATCTGATCACGTGAAATGATTATCCGATAGTGAGACTCGTTTTTCTGAAAAGAAACATTTGTCCATCGCCTTCTGCACCAGTGGAACATTCATTTTCTTCCACAATATTAGATGTACGGTAAATTCTCGAATAATCGTGTCGCCTCTTCCCAAATTGTCCAGTTTCGCGTATAATCTGAGCGTCAATTAGGAAGAATTTACTGTACTCCGACAAGAATCTCTAAAAGAAAACAAATCTTTATTATCAAATATCAACATTGAAAATAACGGTTCGAATTGAATTAATCGAAATAGTTATTTCTTGTTTTCATTTGAAATAAATTTTACCCATGTCTTAATTTGTGTAGACGATACCGTAATTTCTTCCTAATTCGCGCTCAGATTGCGCACAAAAATTGACAATTTGGGAAGAAGAGATACGATTATATAATTACGGATTGTCGACAGCTATAAAAAGGAGCCATAAGACTCGAATAATCGTCTCGCCTTTTCCTAAATTGTCCAGTTTCGCGTACAATCTTAGCGTCAAATAGGGAGAATTTACTAAATAACAATCTTTTACAAAGATGAACAAACTTTAAAGTCGATTTTCTCAAAAAACGGAGCTCCGGATGAAAAACTGTTATACCAAATTTGTTTCTTATTTTTTCACATAGAATCACCGCTCGCTCGGTTGTATTACAAATTCCGGTCCACCCAACACATAGATTTCAAGAAATTTTGGAGTTTCGAAGTCAAGTCCCTAATTGGCGTTCAAATTGTACCTAAAAATGGACAATTTGAGAAAAAGAGATGCGTTTATTTGTGAGCCTTGAGGCTCGTTTTCACAGTTGCCGATTGACGACAACTATAAAAATGAAACGTAAGGTTGGAATAATCGTACTTTCTCTTTTCAAATTGTGCCTTTTTGTTTCCAAGCTGAGCATCAATTAGGGAGAAATTATCCGAAAAGAAAACGGCTGGTCTCTGATTCGAACATTAATAAGAACGTACGCGTTGCGTTTCGCAGGTGTCGGTGGTATTTTAGTAATGGGTCTGGGCATTATAATCAGCGGAGTGTTCATCCTGAGGGCAAAGCCTAACGCCAGGTTTGTCGCAGCCTGGATCGCCTTCACAGCGGTGGTTTACGCGATCGGCATGGGTGTGCTGATGTTCATCGGCTGCCCGATGGACGATTTCGCCGGTCTCGTCTCGCATTCCAATGGGTAAGAACCGCGGTGTACACCTTCCGCTTCTTACCTGTCTCCCCTCTCCACCGGCCACTTCTCGAGATTACCATCTCACTCGCGGCATTCCCCCTCGCGTCTTCGCGATTCGAAATTAACACTGGACTTACTCGCTTCCGATAACACTGTTTCGATGACATTGACTTTGTCACATGTTCTGTGAAAATCACAACCCTTCTAAAGGTTAGGACAAAATTATTATTATTATTTATATAATAATATATAATTATATTTCGAATATATATATATTTCGATAATAAATAATCTAGAATTGGGTAACGACCAAGAGGTTTTAGCTGACGGTGATTTGTTGCAAACGAGATCTGAACATAAAATGTTCGATGACTAGAACCTAAGTTTCCGACGTTATGTTTAAGAAAACATTTCGCGTGGGAATTTGTTTGTTTTTATGTGAAAAATAGTATCGCGTTTGGATCTGTGGGTTTGCTGTCACCTTGTACATTTCAAAAGGAAATTTGAAATCTCCGCACATGTAACTATTTAGATATAGAACATAATCGAAACAGTTCTGATGTTCCTTTTACAATTTCTGGCATAATAAAAATGCTTTCTATCAGCAGTTTTTAGATAAACGCGTCGTTGATCAAGCAAATTTAAATAATTCCAATCTTGTCATTATTATAAAATAACATACATTTTGGCCGCGTTTAGGCCTCGGTAGTTCCGATCAGATGAATTTTTCGCTTTTTAACCAAAATCTAATCCAATTATTAATATAATATATTATATTAATATAATATAATATATTTTTGGCGAAGTAAAATGAAGAAATATTAACATATACATCCGTCAGCTAAAACTATTCAGGTGTCACTCAGAGTCGTGACCTTAAGAACATACATGTCAAAGGTCAAGGTCATTGGAGTTGGATCCCCTAAATAAGAATTTTAGTCACTTTTCTTTTATCCATTTACCTGAACCTCTACTTATATATACTTGGAAACTACTATACTTATATATATTACTAGATACTTGGAAATATACCTAATTTGTTAAGTCGTTGATTCGGATTAACTTACATATACGCCTAAAAAATACATAGTTTTGGTTACGTTTGGAGGATTGTGCTCGTTTTGTTGCATTTGCTCTTTTCATTCTTTTCGAAATTCAAATTGTGCACACCTTCAAAATTAGTCATTTTTAATTTTATCAATATTATGTCCACTTTTGCTAGTATTTTGACGAACACATGCACAGTACCAATGTCAGCGAGTCTCTAGTGTTAAAATAGTGCAAAGGTCATCGTTTTCCCTCGACCGCGGTGAACCACCATCGATCGCTTCCTATTATTGCAACTCCGTTTCTACCATGTGTCTGCATTGGTTTCCGCAGATTGTCCAACTTCGAGCCAACTTGTGAGGCTACCTGCGACTGCGATCGAAACAAATTCAGTCCGATCTGCGGCGCCGACGGCAAAACATACTTCTCTGCGTGTCACGCCGGTTGCTCCAACTATACCGTCATCGATGGCAAGGTGACCTCGGTGAGTACTGCTAGAAATCTGATCGAAATGAATCGAGATTCCAGTTTCAGCGATTATAATTGATCGTCCGAGAAGAAACGCCGAACAAAGTTCAGAGTATATTCAATAAACGATTCTAATAACTTTCGTCTGAATGAAAAGTCATCTAACGTTCACGATATTATAGATGCATGAGCGTTGTTGCAATAATATTGTTAAACGGTATTGTTTGCTTATTCGGTTATCTGCTATAAAAATAATATGCTATATATATTATTATATTATAATATATATAATTATGTATAAATAAAAAATTACGTATGTAATTTATATATGTATATATAATATATATAAATTATAATATATCAATATAATATAATATATTACATGATATTACATTATATTACATTATATTACATGATATTACATGATATTACATGATATTACATGATATTACATTACATTACATTACATTACAATTACATTACATTACATTACATTACATTACATTACATTACATTACATTACATTACATTACATTACATTACATTACATTACATTACATTACATTACATTACATTACATTACATTACATTACATTACATTACATTACATTACATTACATTACATTACATTACATTACATTACATTACATTACATTACATTACATTACATTACATTACATTACATTACATTACATTACATTACATTACATTACATTACATTACATTACATTACATTACATTACATTACATTACATTACATTACATTACATTACATTACATTACATTACATTACATTACATTACATTACATTACATTACATTACATTACATTACATTACATTACATTACATTACATTACATTACATTACATTACATTACATTACATTACATTACATTACATTACATTACATTACATTACATTACATTACATTACATTACATTACATTACATTACATTACATTACATTACATTACATTACATTACATTACATTACATTACATTACATTACATTACATTACATTACATTACATTACATTACATTACATTACATTACATTACATTACATTACATTACATTACATTACATTACATTACATTACATTACATTACATTACATTACATTACATTACATTACATTACATTACATTACATTACATTACATTACATTACATTACATTACATTACATTACATTACATTACATTACATTACATTACATTACATTACATTACATTACATTACATTACATTACATTACATTACATTACATTACATTACATTACATTACATTACATTTACATTACATTACATTACATTACATTTACATTACATTTACATTATATTACATTTACATTACATTACATCGCATATACGTTACATTATATTATATTATCATGCAGCACAAATATATATGCATATATATATAATATATTTTTATAATAAGAATCATAAAATTCTTATAAAAAATTCAGAGAAATTTTCACATAATAAATTCCCAAAAGTAGTACACGAAACAGACGGTAAAACGGTAATGGGCCCTTAGATAACGGACGAAAGTTTTTCTTCGAGTAGCCCATTATGGGTTTGTTGCGAAAGGATAAGTACAGTTTGGATAATAATCTTGGTTCTCCTTGCTCCACAGTTTTATAATTGCCAGTGCGTCGGCTCGAACTTCACGATACCGGAACCATCGAGCAGCTCAGCCACGATCGGGTATTGCGACCTCGAGTGCAGTAACTTTTGGGTTTATATGGTTCTCTTCTCGGTGTTCGTTTTCATCCACTCGACCAGCGAGGTGGGCTCTATGCTGCTGATACTACGGTGCGTGGATCCACGGGACAAGGCCATGGCTCTGGGCCTCATACAATTCGCCATCGGCCTGTTCGGTAATTATCTCTTGCCGGATCCTCCTCTAATTGCACCGTGTCTTCATTCGCCGAGCCGGGAACGAGCCATGCTGCTATCTCAGATTAAACTCCGAATTGGTGCTTGCGAGAATTGAATGCGCAATGAACCGGGAACCCGCTTTCCGTGATGAAAAATCAATTTTTCAAACTTAATACTCTGCAGAAATTGTTTTATTTGCAAACAGTATACATTTTGAGAGAAAGAGAGAGAGAGAGAGAGATACTATGAAATACAAGATATTATTTATTTGAAACGATGCGTAGCCACTTAACCCTTGCCGTACTTCGACGAGTTTCTAGTAAAAACTTATAAAATAAAAATAACTTATTGAGTATAGATTTTATTCTGTTCTTTAAAAATGGAATGAAATTCTAATCTCTTGTTACCAATATTTAAGCATTCAAGTAAATGTAGGCACGCAATAAGCATCAATTTTCTTTCCCTTCTAAATTATTACGATCGAAAAATTTCTAATCGCAGTAATTGCGAAGAAAATGGTATATCAAGGGATTAATGCAAAAGTCAAAATTTTGAAATTCAAAGTGAAACTAATTTTCGTAAGAATTTATTATAGATCATCAAATAACAGTTCTGCAAGACAACCTTCTGCATATATTAGTAGTTAACTCAACTTATTGTTTTACTTATGTGTAAATAGTGCAATGTTTGGAACAAGATGAACTTTGCGAATGGTTTAAAAAAAAATGCTTAAAAGTGCTAGAGATGTTGACTTTTTTCAATTTAACTTACTGTTGACTTTTCACTGAAGAAAGTTTAAACGTTTCTTTAAAGAATTATATGTATAAATATTAGATTCAACCTTCTCAAACTTTTAAATCTGTACGGATTTCGGCCTAGTCCTGGTGTTTTTTTGTGATCTGCAAGCGAGTGTGATAGCCTGTAATCGATTAACAGATATTTATTAGACTGGTTCTTAGAAGTCACGCTATTCTATGTTCGTTAACTTTCCTCTATAAATCAGATGTCATCGGTTTAGTGATATTTATCATTGCAAAATTGTAGACGGTAAATGATCATAATTAATTATTTGAATATCGAGATAGCAGTGCGGAACCGAACTCTGCTACACTTTCACAGAAGCCACATTTATCCGTTCGTCGGTTGATTTCTAGGTAACGTTCCGTGTCCTATCGTTTATGGTGCTGTAGTGGACTCTGCCTGTCTCGTATGGGAGTACGCATGCGGTCAGCGAGGTGCTTGTTGGCTCTACGACTCGAACGTCTTCAGAATGTTCTATCACGGTACGTGATTTCAAAATAAATCCACAACATCCGACCAGATGATGGATGCATTTCTGAACATGCATATGCAAATCATAACACCACATGACTGATTAGCGATTACCATTTTCTACAACATATTCAGAATGTAAATGAACCATTATTTCTTCGACCTTCGAACTATGCATTACCATAGCATAATTCGAAATAGTTTTCTCATAACTTCTACTTATATTTCATACTATGAAAAACGTAAAAATGAAATAATTTTTTAAAACATCTTTAGTCATCATAATTGACGAGGTTTTATCCTCACCGCCACAAGCGAAGCAAGAGATCGCAACTTTTCTACTTTCTAATTCTTCTTTTATGGAACTTTTACTATCTTATTCGTCTCGTTTCGCTGACTAAAATAACGTGACGTAATCACTTCACTTCACTTGTGTAACATGTATGTTAACGTTTCGGACTTGATCTGATTACACAAGTAATTAGTAATCCTAATTATATCGTGTCTGTGTTATTTTAATCAGAAAACCGAGACGAATATGATGGTATAAAAGTTTCATTGACGAAAAATTGAGAATAGAATATATATCAATTTTGAATTCAAAGTCTGAGCTTGCACGAGTGGAAAAATTCCTACAATATTAATTGAACTAATCAAACCGAAATTAAAAAGTTAATATTTACCGTAGCCACTATTAGTTTAATTTTTTCGTATTCTAAAAATTTTGTTCAATATATTACAATGATGCTTGTCGAACGTCCCGATCCTCTTTCTTTTTCGATCGCTATTTTCTACGTTCAGAGAACACTCAAAAAGATGTAGCACCTTTACCATAACTGTCACTCGGCAGACCCGATTAGAAGTTACTGAATATAGTAAATTCTTCCTAATTGACGCTTAGATTGTATGCAAAAATGGACAATAGAGATACGATTATTCGAGCCTTGCGGCTTACCGATTGTCAACAACTATAAAAACGAGCCGCAAGAATCTCCTCTTCCCAAATTGTTCATTTTTATGCGCAATCTGAGCGCGAATTAGGGACAAATTATTATACAATCGTTTCATTTTTACCACAACGCGTTTCTTTTAGTCAATGAGAGGTATCTTTTGTTTTGATTTAAACAAAATTCGATATGAAAATTGGTATTTACAATCACCATCAGATTGTAATAACCAGTCTGTGGATTTTATGTCGATGTATTAGTTTCGGCTAATTAAAGTCATTAACTCTTTGCCCTACGATTTATTTTCAAAGAGACTCGCGTGTGCAGACAATTCAATTTAGCGCAATTCTATGCGAGGAGTTATCATAGAATAAAACTTAAATTATTATATCTTTATTTAATATATTGATATAAATGTGGACACTGTTTCTTTTATAATCGACTAGGTTAATAAAGTAATGCTAATATCAGATATTATATATCTCCCGTCAATTCGGGAGAATTTACTGTTCATCCGTCTCCTACGCATAAAAAATCGCTCGATCTGGGATCTACAATCTTTCGTTTGTTCCACAGGCACCACGGGCGGCATCCTGGTCCTGGCGTTTGTGGTAGACATAGTGGTCTGGTACAAGGCCGGGAGCATCAACTTCGTGGAGGAGCAAGAGGCGGAGGAGGGTACCGTGGAGGAAATGGCCACCCTGAAGTCGCAGGACGCACAAGCAGTGGACAACGACTACTTGTGAAGAGCGACGGCCGAGGGTCGACGGTATCCCAGGAACCTGGCCTGAGTTTCAGCGTCGTGAGCCGGGTACGAAGCGATACACGAAGTGTTCCTAACCCGACGAGGGATTCGGTGATGTCGGCAACGGTGACGCTGGTCGGCGAATCGGCAATCGGCGGGGCTGGCTGATCGCGTCTCGTTACTCACCGGGTGTCTGTTAGCTTCGTTGGCAAGCCGATCGGACGTTCTCGGCGGCGAAAGTAAGAAAGAACTCGATACGAGACAACAGCTGTCGGCTCGATATTCTAAAAAGGTGCTCGCGTCGATCGTGTTCCGCGCGGTCCGACGACAAACCGGCGGCTAAACCGGCGGTGAACATGTCAGTGCGAAGATGTCAGTCCTAGGCTGGGCTGGGAAATGCCCGTAGTTTCCAAAGAGGCTGTGTCGTGGTTCACGTGGAATCGGCACGGAACGAGCGGAGAAAGAAGCACGGAGGAGGGTACTCCCGATGCCGGTCAGCTGGAAACGGTGATCAGATTGTCAAAAAAAACAACAAAAAACGATCGACCGGATCGGATGCCAGCCCGGAAACAGATGACGAAGCAGGAGGGGCGATGGTAGACACGATGGAGTCGGATCCTAGAAGCGCGTCGTTTGTCCGTCAGTCTGTACTCGCGAAGCAAAAACCCGTCGATCATTCCATTCGACCAGTGATTAGGATTCGGTGAATGTCCTCGCTGATGAAGACAGAGAAGAGGTTACTGCGTATTGTGTGCGTGAGGAAGGAGCGTGTGCTGCTAGATAGATAGGTATATTTGGGTAAGGTCCTGCCCGTTGTTCGGATCGTCTGCGATACGAAACGCGCTCGGTTTCTTCGTTCTCCTGCTTTTCGTTCTTGCAACCGGGGGACACGGTTATCGAGACAACTGTTCAGGCATCCACGCGACCGATGCCCGTCGCGCAAAGAATTGCTACATACGTTCCCGCCGAGACGCGTACAGGAGTCGACGATTTCGGAAACCGGCGCAGGTTCTTTTCTCGAATTTCTTGCAATCGCTTGTCCACTTTTTCGCGCGAGCAGTCGAGTGCCCGTCTCGTCTATTTTCAATCTTCGGAGCGGGACAGAATACGAAGGATCCTTCGTTCGGCGTTCTCTTTTAGCTGTTACCGTCCGGCGTTCTCCCCGAAAGTGCAGACCGCCGCGAGGAAAGTGTGCAAGCGATTAACGTTGCGCGAGTATCGCATATGTCTGGAACGAACGGATGAATGGCGAGACGCGGACGTAAGGAAGGAAGTCGGATGGAAAGAAAGGGAGAGAGAGAAAGAGAGAGAGAGAGAGAGAGAGAGAGTGTCTGTGTGCGTATATATACATATGCGTGAGTGAAAACGAAGAAATATATATAGGTCATATTTTTAGATGATTTGACGAGAAAACGGACGGGAAAGAACGAAAGAATAATGTTTATCGCTAATATTAAATTACGGAAAGGAGATCCGCGAGAAAACTAAAGCGAGAATCTAATAAACGCGGCGGGAGGATCGAAGTCGCATGATTGCGAGTCGCTCGATGCAGCGAATCAAAGCCGAGTCGAGTCGCTCGAACAGTGTGTTCGCGTCATCGTTGACGCGATCGGAAAAAAAATAAGTACCTTCCCAGCGAGTGCAGCGATTTCGATGCAGGGTAAAGCGAGGAAAGGATGCTATCCAGGAGGACAAACAAAACAAGCACTGCTCCTCGAACAAAAAGAAAAAAAAAACGCCATACAGTTATTTAGCAACCGCGAGCTAGACGGCGATGGCGCGACGCTATCGATCCCGTCGAAGTCAATTGGAGCGAGGAAGGGATATATATTTTTGGAAAGTTTCGGAATATATTTTTGTTCGAGCTGTTCCATACTTGTTCGCGAACGACCGAGTAAACCGGGGTCGTTCTTCGATCGGACGCGACGAGGAATAGAAATTGCATTTCTTTGAACAGTTGACTCGTGATCGAAATAGTTTGATTTCGCAGGAAATTTTAACCAGAACCGGGTGAACGGAATTTTATTGTACCGAAGTAAACGTATCTCCCTTCGCACGGAGCGCACCCTCGTTCATAAGCACCTGGACTTTTATCGATTTTTAAGACAACAGCTGATATTTCGTCGACTGCGATTAGAGACACCCATTTTACGTGTAATCGATGTGTTCGTGTTATACAGGGTGTCCCATAATTATGTTAACACTCGAAAAGGGGTGATTCCTGAGGTCATTTTATGTAACTTTTTCTTTGGCGAAAATGCAATCCGCGGCTTTGTTTGCGAGTTATTAATGAAAAACAGTGACCAATGAGAAGCGAGCTCGCCTAGTGCTTGGCGGCCGAGCCAATCACCGCCGCCTAGTGCTGGGAGAACTTTCCCCTCATTGGTCACAGTTTTTTTTATTAATAACTCGCGTAAACAAAGCTGCGGATTGCATTTTCGCTAAGAAAAAAGTGACTTCAAATGACCTCAGGAATCATTTTCGGGTGTTAACGCAATTATGGGCTACCCTGTAGTCTGTGAACTTCTTTATGTTAACACATTATAAATATCTATATTTCCTTTATATGATTACACGTATGTAACGGAGTATTGGATTATTAGATTCTTATGCAACTAATTTCTGATACACAAAATATTAATTGATAGGTTGCAAGTTGAATGAACATAATAATTTCTATAAATACACTTGAATCTATGAAAAACGATCGAAAAATACCAATGTATTTACATTTTCCTGCAAAGGACTCTTCCGGCTGTTACAATACATGTGTATTGAAAATGAAAAAAAAAATCAAAGGAGTACACGGATTAAAACATGGATATATTAGTTACATGCGTATATGATCTCTACTTTCAATATTATACCGATAGAAATGTACGTTTAGGCTACTGTTCGCAAAATAATTTCTTTCAAAATGTTTTGGAGCAAGTACATAATCTAGACGGTATTAAATAATCTCTGGAATATCTTTCAGAGCAACTTGAATAAGGGTCGCTTCGCCCTTAAAGTATAAAAGTAACACCAATCAAATACTGGAGAATTTTAGGATAACCCACTCAACGATTGCTTTGAAACGATTCTCTACGCTTCCATCGTACCAAAGTCATTCAAGAATTAGATGACAGGAAATTTGATTTGATTTTGTGTAAAATTCAACAATCTATTTTGTAGGCATAACAAACTTCTATCAATTTTATGTTCCAACATTTCATGCTCCAACGCTTATAGACGGGGATGTGCGTTTCTCCGACGATAGTAATCGTTCGGTTGGTGTCTCGAAAACAAAGAACACCTGTACAATACAATGTCGCCGCTTCAACGGAACGTTCGTTGAGGCGTCGAAATGCGCCGCTGTGTTACTCTGTACATTACAATATGTGTTTCCGTGTGGATGTTTGCGCGTGCAGCAGACTCGTACCGTTGCATCGTCGACGATGCGAGCGAGACGAATTGCACAGGCGGATACGGCCTCTCGTATACCCGTTGTACCCGTCTCCGACCGAGAATTGTATTTTTGTATTCGAAGCGAACATAATGTATATTTTAATCGATCACGCGTCGCGCGAGCACGGGACACGTGACGTCGAACTGATTCACCCTCGGAATCCATCTGTTCTCGTTCATCCACCGCGTCGACTACGGCTGAACGCGAACAGAGAGCTGTTGAGACATGATTCTTTCTCTCCAAAATCATTTTCTCTGTTTTTCCTGAAACTTGGTGTTATCGGAACGGTTGTTGAAACTCGGAAGAGCGAGTCCAATCGGACAATGGGCGTGTCGCGCAACGTCGGGAAAAGGGGTTTGGGTGCGTGCGTGTTAGGTTGTTACATGTGAAATGTCCGATCTTTAACGACAATTCCAAACATGAGAAATTAGTAGTCTTTTAGTTCTTCCCGCTCGCGCGGGAAAAGTGCGCGCCGAGGTCTGCCCGAATGCACACGGGCTTAAAACAAAGAAACGACGATCGGACTTCAAAGAACAGTTCCCGGAGTTCAAAATTGTACATAGCGCGCGTCTGCAGACATGAAAGTATTTTTTTACGAAAGCGATTCGTAAGATTGGCATTGCAAAATTGGGCATTTTATATATTACAATCTAATGTTTACGAGGAGGCGATAAAAGTGTGTAACAGTAGTTTCGTTGCGAAACCGAGACTGCTCGGGACAGCTTGAAAAGAAGAGCCAGAAGAACGGAGTTTCAAGGAACGAGACTGTGCTGTCAGAGCGTAGATTGGAACCATAGAGATGTCCAACGCGCGTGTATTGTTCGCGCTCTTTTCTTTCGATCGGTCCTTTTCACGATGTCCTATCCATTCGATTCTCTATCGATACGACGGCCATGAAATATTGAAGAGCAGCACAGACAGAGGGAAAGAAAAGGGGACAGGAAGATGGAGAGATAGGGGATATGTGTATAAGTATGTGTACGTGTCTGAGGGAGAAGGAGAGAGAAAGTGGGCTATAACTGGCCGTCGTCCCATGCGTCCGTCGAATACAAAAAAATTTATTTCCCACGAAAAAAATCGAAGAAACGACGATGCATGCGTATATTTTGCACAAAATCCGCTAATCAGGGGAGACTAGCACCTTCTTTCTATCTCTCACTCTCTCTCTCTCTCTCTCTCTCTTTCTCTCCCTCTCTCCCTTTGTCTCTCTTTCTCTCCCTCTGTGTGTGTCTGCGTGTTTGTTTGTTAAGCGACTATTTGTTTGTTAATCTATTTTGATCGCAAAAGGAGCTGGTACGGACGGACTTTTGGCACTAGAAGCGTGATAGAGTAGACAAAATGACTCGTTCAACGACCTTCGTCGTTGTGCGCACACCGGTTAATGGAATTTGCTTAACATGTTGATTGCCACGCGAATTCATTATGCATATTTACTGCCAATTACCGAAAAAATCGAGTGGAGTCGCATTTTAAGACTGTAGACGATTTTTAACGTTTTCAAACGGGTTGACGATATTGTAATCGTACATCGAAGAGCATTGGATCGTACATCAAAGTTTTACACACTGTGAGAAAAAATATATACCAATGTTTGGCTTTTTAAATAATTAAGCTGTCGACGCTGTCAATATTAAAACTACGTAAATTTTGATCTTACTCTTTTCCAAAATCTATTTAACACTTTATTTACCGGAAGCATATCAATGGACTATCCAGTTTCTTTTAAATAACAATTTCAAAAGAACTTGTTCCATTATATTAATCCAAATAATTTGACGAACTATGGATGAGAAGACTTGTGAATCTATTACGAAATTCTTAATTGTTGGTCTCCGATTTTAAAAGAACTATTAGAAAACTGTCAGCACATAAAGTGTTCATTTTGATGTTTATATTCGATGACGTTGAACTTATCGCGATCGCGTTCAAGCGATTCCAAACGACGGATAATTCAACGTGTTAACAACTTCCCTCGGATTTCAGTGATCGCGGAACAGAAATTCTGAAACGGGTCTCATTTTGACGCGTCTGTTGGTTCTAGTGTTAACGAGTCCTACTTTATTTTTCGGATAAACAAACGGCGAGCTTGGCGGCGAGCGAAAGGCGCGTTTCCCCCCGCAGCGTCGCAACGGTGAAAATTATTTTGCTCTCATTGTTTGGTGTCCCGGTGCTAATTGAAGGCCAAAGAAAGAGAGTGATAGTGTCGAGGAAGCGAGAGGATACGACATGACCGCGAACACTTATGTGACTGGTCACAATGACGCTTGGCACATATGTACATACACTTCACGTAAGTGCTCGTTTGCGTTTTATCCTGCGCTTGCATCGTAAATTTCTCTTTCTCGAAGACCCGCGCGCGCTGCTGAACGCGCCACGCGATCGTCAGATAGAAGCACAGATTTTCTCGTTAATGTCGCGTCATTCGGAAGGCAACGCAGCGTTATCAAACAATGAATACTATTTTCTGTCAAGTAGTATAAAAACAGTGCCGATCGAAATGCAACGACGACAACGGAAAACTGTATAGCTGTATCCGCGATCGGCGTGCTACAAGATGGTAGGAATGGAAGCGCGACGCTGTTGAGGAAATGCCGTATCCGCTCGCCTTTCAGCGCTTGTCACAGGATTAGGTCGTCGTTCAACCAACAGCATACCGCCTGAACGATACTAGACCAGTATCAACGCGTTCACATGATTTACATTAATAGAACTGCGACGTCCATTGGACCGCAACAGCACAGTCACTCCTCCGTTTACCTTTTTTTCTCTCCTTTCCGTAGCGTGAACATGTCGATGCTGTTCGGACGCGCTGTTAGATGGACGACAAACCTTTATATTACGTGTACGATAGAATTGTAAATATAAATAGGAGAGTACAATAATTGCCAAAATAATCGTGGCGCGGAGCGACAGAGTCTTGATCTTTATATCCGTATGTTGCGCCAACGCCGGCAATCCGCTTAGCTTCTTCCGAATCGTACGAGCTGTCCACAGTCCAACACGATGTGTCTAAGGCTGCTTCCCCTCGGGTGTGTTTTACATTTGAATCTGCAGCTTTGATCACCCAAGTTTGTCAAGGCGCCTTCGAGTTTCGGGTCGTCGTACAAATTTTTGTACAGATTGTTAACCCCTGGCTTTAGGGGATGTCAGCGCCATTTAAATATGGCTCAACGCTGGCTTGAATCGTGAATTGATAATAGCTTCATTATGCTTAACGGAATTATTAAAATTTTAACATCCTTCCAATTCTCTCGTACAAACAAGAAAGATTCCGTTTTTCCAACTGAGTTCGGTCGCACCGTTTCAATTTTCTTTGTGATACGATCCGTAACTTTCAATCGCCTTTGCAAAATATGCGCTGTACAGTTTTCTTCTCCGTAGCGTCGCGCAACTTTAGGGGCACAGCGAGGTGCTCAGAAGCATCGGAAGCTATTTTGATCCTCTCCCTTGTCAGGTGACGACTCGCTGCTACCTCGCAATTAGCTCTAGCTATAAGATGACAGGAATAAAAATGATCGGTCGCCACACGTCGCGACGCTATGGAGG